GGTCTCCAACCTTGGCAACTTTAAGCCTGGAGGACTTCAACTCCCAGAATTCCCCAGCCAGCAAAGCTGGGAGTTGAAGTCCTCCAGGCTTAAAGTTGCCAAGGTTGGAGACCCCTGTTCTAGTCCAACCCCAGCTCAAGCCGGAGACCCTCTACCATTTCAGGCAAGTGGCTGTCCAGCCTCTTCTTCAAGGCCTCCAGGGATGGAGCCCCCACGACTTCTAGTTTCTAACCCGAAAGTTCTCGTGAGCCCAGGGAAGCTTCCCCTTGACCTCCAGGATGTCTCCTCACCTCCGAGAAGAAGATCATCCCAATGGTCTTCTCCCTTATGTCAGGGCGGTGGAGGTAGGCGCTGGCCTGTATAAACATGTCCTTCAGCTCCACTTTGGAGAATGCGAACAAGTTCCTAAAAGATCAGATACGGAGAGATCAGAAAAAAAATCTGTTGGTTGCCTTTCTCTCTCTCTCTTTCTCTCTCTCTCTCTCTCTGCATCTTCTTCTTCCTCTCCCCTCCCCCTCTCTCTTCCCCTCCCTCCTTGTCCCTGTCTTTCTCTCTCCCTCTCCCCGCCAGTCCCTCTTCCACTCTCCCTTCCACTCTCTCCGCCTCTCTCTCTTTCTCTCTCTCTCTCTCTCTGCTTCTCTCTCCCTCTCCTGCTTTTCCTCTCCTTTTCTCTCTCTCCCTCTCCCCCTCCTGTTCTTCCCCCTCTCCCCTCCCTCCTTCTCTCACTTTTACCCCCTCTCCCTCCCTGTCTCCCTTTATTTCTCCCTCTGCACCTCATTCTCCCTCTCTTTCTCTCTCTCCCCCCTTCGGCTCTTCCAGCTCTCTTTTCCACACTCTCTCTTTCTCTCTCTCTCTCTCTTCCTCTTCTTCTTCTCTCCTCCTGCGCCCCCTCCCCTTCTATCTCTCGCCCACCGCCTGACTTTTCTGACTTTTAACTTCTTACCGGGCCAGGTGGGAAATGGCTTGAAACAAACCGTCTGGGCTCAGCAGCATTTCCCAGCAGCCGAGCAGCCCCAAGGCCTCGAATTCCCTCAGATAGCCAGCACACACGATCAGATTTCTGATCGCTTGCACTGCGGTGCTAAACGGACAAAGGGACAAGAATCGGTGCCAATCATTCAGAAGACCTCCTGCCCCCTGCAAAGCGCAGGCTTCCGACAGCCATGATTGAACCAAGCCACGATGGTTGGCGGCGTCTATGGGCCAACCAGGGGTTGAGTGCGGCTGAACTTGATTACAATGACTGACCACAGTTCATTTATTGACCGTACAGAGTTACAACACCACAGAAAAAGGTGACATGGCCATTTTTCACCCTTACGACCCTTGTAGCATCCCTGTGGCCCATGGGATCAGAATTCAGACAACCGGCCACTGGCTCATATTTATGACAATTCATGAGTCCCGCTTTGTGACTCACGCGATCTCCTTTTGCGACCTTCGGACAAGCAAAGTCGGCGGCGGAGCCAGATTCACTTAGCAACCGCGAGACCAGCTTCGCCAACGCAGTGATGGAGGAAGAACCCAGTCTGGGCCTAGGGGATTCCTTACCCCAAGAAGTTGATTTGTTGGGAATTCTCCAGTATTCGGCTTGATCGTCTTGACCCTCGTTTGCTGGCTCCAAGGAGAAAATAAATCTGGGTGACCAGCGCAATCAGCAGCGGAGGGAATTTGTTCTCGATAACTTCAGCTGCCTCAGGCAACGAGAGGATGAAGGACAAGGCATTGGTGGCCTAGAAACGGGATGACAGGAGAGTCACCTTGGGCACGCCAGGCTACGGAGTTTCATCCTCTTCTTCTTCTTTTTTTTTAAAAAAGTTTTTTATTTTAACAACAAAACAACATAGACATACCACATAAAACATAAAAATATCATCCTTCTTCATAAATTTACAAACAGCGCATCGGTTGGTTTACCACTGGTTGGTTTTTGTGTGCATCCATTTCCTAGTCACTAATATAATTATATTACATAATAGCTCATATTATCAATCAATAATTGTATAACCTAGTATCATCACTAAAAAATCATTTATCTATAATTTTATTAATTCATACTTCAACGAGATAGCTATAGTTTACTTAGTTTATTTTGCAATAAATCATAAGATCATTCCAAATCTAGCTTGATAACGTTTTATAAAGATAATATCAAAAAAAAAAGAAATTTTTTTTTATGCTAAGTCTGAATGTTCTATTATTATGCTTTATTATCTAACCATTGATAAAAAAGATCCCAAACTTCATAAAATTGTTTATCTTCTTGTTCTCTAATTTCAAATGTCAATTTACTCATTTCAGCCCGATCCAATATTTTCTATCATCTTCTTCTTTTAACGACCCCATAATCCCTTACATTGAGGTGGAGTCTGAGCCATTGAATGGAGTTGAATGTTGACTGGCCAGGTGCCCTTCCTGTCGCCAGTGAAACGGGAAGGGCACGTTCAGCAGATACATTACCGTCGTGCCCAGAGAGAGAAATACCTGCCTCTACTTAGTATCCAACACCCACCCTCCTGACTGTGAGCAGAACCAGATGACTTCGCTTACAGGGTCCAAAAGTGGGACTCCTTTGATGTGGGCCAACCAGGAGGAAAATAAAATCCCCATGTCCCTGAAAATTGAGCTAGGAATGTCCATATCTGAGACGGGATGCAAAGTTTTGCTCGAAGTGGGACTTCCAAAACACAGATTCTACTCCCCCTCCAGACTTTGAGGGGACAGTGGGGTGTAGATACAGAACAGAAGGGAGAGAATGTGTAGCACAAGTGAGTGAGAACTGTGGACAAAGAGATCTGAGGAGTCTCTTTCTGCCTTCATTCCTACGTGGGCTCTTTACTCTCCACCTAATGAGTTGTTTATTTATTTGTGGGCTCCTTGGGGCCGTCTGAGTGTGGTTTTGTTGTTGTTGTTGTTGCAGGTGTTTCATGACCCAACTAGGTAACATCATCAGTGCTAGAAGAGTTACATCCAAGTTACGCAAGAGCTTGCTCTTCCTTGAGACCATTGTCTGTGAACTGTCCTTAAATATCACATTTCAATTCAGCTCTGAGCGACAGATATTCTCTTCTATTGGTCTTAATCCATCGTATTTCTATACCAGCCATCTCAGCTAACTGGCACTGGGCAGTTTACAATAATGTAAAAAAAACAAACCATAAAACACATAATAAAAACACAGATTAAAACTAAGAGGCGGTGTGCAGCTGGATGTTTGCCTTTCTTGGTTCCTATCGTGTATTTTCTGACATCGAACTCTTTTTAGTAATTTCTGTAAGCCACCCAGAATCACCCTGAGTGAGTTGGGCAACCGTAGGAGTTTTCTTATGGAATGAATGACTCAATCAATAAATACACAAATGAATGGATGAATAAAGGAATGGATACATGAAGGAACGGATGAATGAATAGATGAACCGATGGATGGATGGAGGAATGGTTCGAAGAATATCAAAGTTGTTCTGTCCAGGAAGCCCACAGATGCTTTGACTTCCTGTGGGGCTTTTCTGGAGGTCCTTATGCCAAATTTTGCTCCAATTTCAGCCCCCACCTGTTTGCCCACTGCCTCCCTGCAACCTGCTCTTAATGGGGAGACCCCCGAGGGGGTGAACCTTCTCTCCGGCCTTCCCCACGCCTAGATAAAATGAAAACAGAGCCACCGGTCGATGGCTTACCGCAATGGGCATGACGGATTTGCAATTTCTCTTTCTGGTGGTTTCTGTGCTGGGGTCTTCATCCTGGAGCCTTTTGAGGAGAGGTTTCATGATCCTCAGACTGGCATATGGATCTGCCACGAGAGCCCGCCATAGCTCTCTTGCGGTTCTGCAGAGGTGGAAAAATAAATTGGGGGGTTGCCTCTTTCCCCATTTGAGAAGCGTCCAGATATATTAACTGCCCCCCCCCCAACGGAAGAACAGATTAGAAAACTGATGGCCAAATGAACTGCTTTCATGCAAGAATATATATATATATTCTGTGCTTTTAAAGTTGTAGCAACGTTTCAGCAGAATCTCATCTGCCGTCGTCAGGCTTCTGTATTGTGTTTGTCTGTGAGTCAGACTTTCACAGTCGAACGCAGAATAGAGTAGAATAGAATGGAATGCAGAATAGAATAGAATGGAGAATAGAACAGAACATAATAGAATAGAATACAGAATAGAGTAGAGTAGAATGGAATACAGAACCGTTTGCCAAGTAACCACTCAAAGTGACAACGGCATTGAAGAAAGTGGTGTGACCTCTCCCGTCACAAGACCTGCTGGCTACACAAAGCCCTTACAAGCCGAAGGACTCCAACACTGGCCTTCCCTAAACTCCATTGAAGATGTCACCTAGCTTGGTAACAAAACGTCCGGAAACCAACCCACAAGCTTGGAGAACCGACCTCCACCCTTATCCTCCACCTGACCTACAGGTATCTGCCCCGATCGCAAAGGATTGAGAATCTCCGTAGAGTCCAAGCGACCAGGAGACACCTTTCCTTGAGGTTCTTCTTACCCGTCACACTCCACCAAGACCTCCAGGATGGTATCCACCACTCGGTTTGCCCTTTTCGAAGCCAGGTGGCACACGGCTATTATGATGTCTTCCTTGGTGGAAGGGTCCAAAATATTTGGGAGGCACACGTACATTTCCCTTAGGATCATCGGTAGCTACGGCAAAACAGAGGTCCGAGGGACGAGATCCATCGTTGGTCTCCACTGGAGTTGCAGTAGAGCTGATAATTCCCACCCGTTGGGGGAAAAAAATGGCCCCCACAGTGTCAAAGTTTGCCTGACATTTTCAAAAAAGACACCTGATTTGTCCAGCCCTGTGTGATGTGGACAGCACTGAACCAAATTTGCACTGGCCATGATAGATGAGCAGACCCTCTCTGTAAATGGGGCCAAATATCATCATCGAGTTGTGACTGCGGGCCCCCAAAACACACTATCCAACGTATTTAGGTAGTCCTCAACTTATGACCACCACTGAACCCAAAATATCTCTTGCTAACCTCCTTCTGAAGGTTTACCCAACTTTATCAACAGCCCAGAGGTCACTCAGTGGTCTGGCATCTAGCCCTAGCCTTCTTAAGACCAGCCAAAGTTGTGTCACCGAGCGGGATTCCAAACCCAAGGTCTTCCCCGCTGTCCTCTTTGATTTCTACAAAATCTCCTATATCCCTTTCGCTCCAAACCCTCCCGTTTTCTTACTTCCTCCATCTCCATTCCACATTCTTTCATGAAGGAATTGAGAAGGAGCCCGGCGGCCTGTGAAATGTTTTTGTTGCTGTTTGTGACAACTTCCAGGGCTTTCAGGATCACATCTGTTAACTGGGAGGGAGTGAGATGCTCACCAAAGGCCTGTTGGAAAGAAGGAAAGAAGACCATGCAGAGATGCACCGGGGTTTGGACGCTCTTTTCTCGACAAGCCAGAGGCTTTGACCCAGGTTTGGGGATAGCCCACCGTGGAGAGAGGCAGGCCTTAGTCCATGTCATCCATCACGTGGAATTAGGAGGTGGGTCAAAGAAGCCGACATGGCGGCTGCACTTGCCCGCTCCTGGACATTGTGCGGGATGGACATCCAAACTCCAGCCTTTGGAGCCTGCCGTCCCCACTGTTACATTGACTTTTTGGAGTATCTCCCGGTCATGAGGAGGACCGAAAGGAAGGTCAACAAGAAGCAAGGCGAAAGGCTGAACTAAACACACCTTAGCCATTTTGGGGATGTTGTCATAAAATATTGCTGGGCCCGAGACGAAGAAGTCCTCCCTCAGCCATTCGACGATCTTCCCCTTCCTGTTTTTTCTCCTCATCTCCATTTCTTTAGCTTTGTAGGGAGGAAAAGGACACACTGTCAGATTTTGGCATTCTGAACTTCCGAACATCCTTCCTCTGCCTGCTGGTTTAGTAGTTCCAGTAGAGGAGAAGATTTGTAGCTCAAGGGTTGACACGAGGGGGTCCTTGGTGCTCTCTGAGCTTGGTGGTTTTCCTGCAGACGTTTCATTGCCCAGCTAGGTAACACCATCAGTGATGCTGACCATCAGTACTGACAGGGCAAAAGCCTTGTATAGAAAAGAGAGACAAAAGCTTCCTCCCTTCTAGTACTGATGACGCTATCTAGTTGGGTCATGAAAAGTCCTCAAGAACACAACAAAGGTCCTCCCCCTCCCTCTCCTCCTCCTCCTCCCTCTCTCCCTCTGTCTCTCCCATCTCTCCTTTTTGGGGGGCCACCAAAGGGTCTCCTGGGCAGGGGGTCTCCCCTTGGAGTCCCCATTTCTCACCCATTTTGCTCATGAGGAGTTGGTGGAGGTGGTAGGCAGCCTCTGCAGACATCTGGCCAACTTCTTTGCTGGTGTCGCTAATGTGCAGGGCTAGCAGAGCTACCAGCTGTCCCAGCAGAACAAAGTCAGCTGTTGTCTAATGAAAAGAAGGAGAAAGGAGGAGAAAGATGAGAAAGTGGGAGAGGCGCCCTGAGGAACTTTTCAGCCACCTGAAATCAGAGAATATGTACCATAGAATCTTAAAATCATATATTTTGGAATTATAGAATCACAGAACCTTAGAAACATAGGAATTTTAGGAACATAGAATATTAAAATATCAGAACCACAGAATTATCAAATGGTTGAATCTTAGCATCATAGAATCTTAGAATTAAAAAGTGTTTGAATCTTTGAATCATAGAATCTTTGAATTTTGAAGCAGAAAATCTTTGAATCATAGAATAATAATCATAGAATCTCAGAATCATAGCATCATAGTGTCATCTGAGAATAATAGAATCTTTGAATCATAGAATCTTTGAACCTTTGACTCTTCAAAGCATAGAATCATACAGCCATAGCCAGGGGTGGGATCCTACCAGTTCGCACCTATTCGCTCGAACTGGTTGTTAACATTCTAAGCAGTTTGGAGAACCGGTTGTTAAAAGAAATTACTGGGCTAATCCTGTAAGGAAGGCAGGAAGGAAACGTTCTGGGGTTGCTTACAGAAACTGCCTCTCCATTAGCCCTTATTAACATTCTTGGCAGGACTAGGCTTCCTGTCTCTGGAACTTCTCTGGAGGTCTTCTTTCCTCCTTTGCTGGTATCCAGCTTGTGTGGAGTGACCATTCAAACTCATAAGGGCACTGAAAAAAGTGACTTGTGACCATTTCCACACTTATGACTGTTGCAGCATCCCCACAGTCACGAGAGGCCAGGCGAGGAGATGCGTGCCTCGATGTGAGTGATATTGAGTTGGCCATGCCCAGCCAGTCACATGAACACCAAGCCACGCCCACCACCTAAGCTATACCCAGAGAACCGGTTGTTAAAAAATTTGAATCCCACCCTGGTCGTAGCATCACAGCAACTTTGAATCATAGAACTTGAGAATCACAGAATGATAGAATCATAGAACCACGGTTGCTGGGAGGGACTCTGGCGGTTTTCTCCTCCAACCTGCTGCTCAAGCGGGGCTCCTGATATCATCCTGGTCACATTCCCAAAGGTGCTTTTTCCAAAAGGCAACTGGACTTTCTTGGGTTTTTTTCCCTTTGAAAACATTTCACTTCTCATTTATTTATTTATTTGATTTGTCAATTGCTTACAAGATACAGGTATAAGAATAAACATAGTTTTGAATACATGGGATAGATACTTATAAGAAAAATTAAAAAAAAACAATAGGACAGGGATGGTAGGCACGATTGGTGCACTTATGCACGCCCCCTACAGACCTCTTAGGAAAGGGGTGAGGTCAATAGTAGACAGTCTAAAGTTAAAGTTTTTGGGGTTTGGGGAAGAAACCACAGAGTCAGGTAGAGTATTCCAGACATTGACCACTCTGTTGATGAAGTCATATTTCCTGCAATCAAGTTTGGTGCGGTTGACCTTGAGTTTGTATCTATTGTGTGCTCTTGTATTGTTATGGTTGAAGCTGAAGTGTTCATTTGCAGGTAGGACATTGCAGTGTATGATTTTATATACTATACTTAGAATCGGACCGAAGGCGGAGTAGTTCTAGGTTTTCTAGGTCTAGAATTTCAAGTCTGGTGGCATAAGGTATTCTGCAATGAGTAGAGGAGCGGAGAACTCTTCTTGTGCAATATTTCTGGACTTTCTCAATTGTGTTAATATCAGATACATAATGCGGGTTCCAGACTGATAAGCTGTATTCAAGTATAGGTCTAGCAAATGTTTTGTATGTTCTAGTTAGTAGTGTGAACCAGAAGAAGAAGCTACGTAGGATTAGATTAACAACTCTTAATGCCTTTTTGGCTATATAGTTACGGTGGGCTCTAGCACTTAGGTCATTAGAGATGAGTATTCCAAGGTCCTTGACAGAGTTTGGATCCTCAACAAGGTCTTGACTATTCAGCTTGTATTTATTTTATTTTATTTTATTGACCATTTGTTGTCTGTTTGACAGGAATCCTTCTATCCAGTTATGCAGGTGTCCAGAGATACCATAAGATTCTCATCCTAAACTGTGACTTACATCAAAATTTTCATTTTCCGAAGCAAATTTGAGAAGTTGCCAGGTGATCTGAAGGGCCCTCTCTCTCTCGTGAGTTTTCTGGGATTCTATATAGATGTTTGTGACCTGCCAGGAAAAACAAAGAAGGAGGAAAGGAAGAATTTGTGATTCCCACTTTGAAGAGCCACCAGATTTTTCATGACTGGGGAGAATATCTAAAGAACTAAAAAAAATTGTGACATTTGTCAGTTCTAGAATCAGTTCTAGGTCAGTTCTAGAATCGAAACTAGAGTAGTAATGGAAGATTTCTGGAATACAGCTACTCTTAACAACAAAGGACAGTAAAATCAAGGCAAAACCGGATAGTTGGGGACAACAATCTGTATCCTCATTTAAAGAGATGGCTGCAAAGCACAGGCAAGCGGTATAGAAGTCTAAGTGCTACTGGGATTTAGTGATTGTTCAAGATTAGAACAGCCCATGGCCGGAGTTTTTTTTATTGGGAATCTTACCAGATACATACAGTAAAGATTTGAAATATCTGATTGTAAATGTATTAACAGCGGCTAGGATTGTATTTGCTAAAAACTGGAAAAATGAGAAAATACCATCGCAGGAAGAAATTATTAAGAAAATATTGGAATGTGCTGAGATGAGTAGATTGACGTTTGAAATCAGAGAGCAAGAGGATAAACAATTCTATAAAATCTGGGACCTTTTCTATCAATGGTTGGATGATAAAATACAATAATAGAATATTTAGAATGTTAGATAACAAGGAATATATAAAAAGATATCTTTTCTTTTTTTTCCCTTTCTTTTTTGTTATTTGACATCATATCTATAAAGTGTTTTTAGGATAGATTTGGTATGACTATATGATTTGTTATAGAATAAACTACCTAAATTATAGTTATCTCATAAAGTATGAATGAATAAAATTATAGTCAAATGATTTTCTAATAGTGATACTAGGATATATAAGTTTTGATTGATGATACGAGTTATTATGTAACGTAACTGTAATTGAGACTACGAAATGAATGCACAAAACTGATAGACCAACCGACACACTGCTTGTATATATGTATGGAAGAGAGCTGATGTTTTTATGTTCTGTTTGTTTTGTTTGTTTTTAAAAAAACAATAAAATTGTTTTCCAAAAAAAAAAAAAGATTATAACAGCCCATGGCCAGTTGTCCGGTGGGGAGTTGGCTGTGACAAGTTATTGCATTCAGCCACTGCGATGATACCCTTCCCACCCAAAAGGCCACATTTGCCTATCCCAGGTCCTTGGAAGGACTTGACAGGTGGACAGAAGTGCCAAATCCAGACTAAACATCTGGCTGACCGTATGACCAACCCCAAGAAAGAATAAATCTTTACCCTTAAGATATCCTGCAGGGAATCCAAATTCGGGTCCTCGGAGAGCAACTCGGTGAGCATGACATTGCAGGCTGTCACGGTCTGCTGATCCTACAAGAAGGGGAAAAATATCAGAAGGAAGAAGTGGCGTAAAGCAGGGGTCCCCAACCACCGGGCCATGGACCGGTCCCGGTCCCAGTCCGTGGAACATTTCCTACCGGGCCGCCGGTTTGCTGGGCGCCGCCATCTTGTTTGACAAGAAAGTGCTTCTGGGTGAGCTTTTCCGGTTGCAAAGCGGCATTTGGGTCCTGAAGGAATCCTCGCGCCTTAGTTTCATCAAAGGGGGGGGCGGCTTCGAACGAAACTAAGGCGCGAGGATTCTTTCAGCACCCAAGGCAAGGCGAGCCGAGCGGCCATCCCGAAGCGAAGCCCATCGACAAAGCTACAAAGGAGGAGTTGAAGGTGGCGGGGAGAAGCGGGGGACGGCTGGCTGGCCGGTCGCTTGGCTCGCCTTGCCTTGTCATGCGTGCTGATGCCGGTACCGGGCCGCCAATCATTTTGTGATGCCGGTACCGGGCCGTGGCACAAAAAAGGTTGGGGGCCACTGGCGTAAAGGAAGGAATGGCCCCTAAAAGAGGGAGGAAACCAGGGGTGGGGGAACTTGTGGTCCTTTGATGATGTGCACAGTAACCCCCATCATTCCTGAGCCCGCCATGGAATTCTAGGACTTGAAGTCCACAAGTCGACGGTAAAGGGAGTGGCTGACCTTGCAGGGTTGGCTTTTCCTCCAGAGTTGGAAGAAATGCTTTTTCTGCTGAACACCAGGAACAAAAGGACTTCCTTCGTGCTCTCATTCAGAAAAGAATGACTAAGAAGTTGAATGTCTTCCTTAATATTCTGGGATGTTCAAATATAGGCAGTCCTCACCTTATGACCACAATTGAGCCTGAAATGCCTGTCGCCGAGTGAGACATTAGTGAAGTGAACTTTGCCCCCGTTTTATAACCTTCCTTGCCACAGTGGCGAAGTGAATCACTGCAGTTG